GTGCTCGGTACATGGCAATATAGTCTCACCCCCTATTACACTGTGGATTACACTGTACAGTGGCATTAGGGCCGTAATGTGCACCTCTGGCTTCCCCCTCGGGGATAAGAGACGTGATGTTATCCTATATATTTATTGACTTAAAACTACGCAGACATGGTTATTTTAAGCGATTACAAATATATATGACCCATAACTAGATTTACAGTATACAAATAAAAAACATACTTCAACTGCAAAAACGACCTTATTGCAACCAAATAAGGCATCATAAAACGGTAAAAGATCCTTGGAAAATTATCACTTCGCATTTGTATCAAATTATAGTAAAGATTATTGTGTTTATATATTTCATTAGCATGTACGATGCACGCTGGTCAAAACTGTTTATGTCAACAATATAATATGATTAAGTTAAAGACTTTGTTTGTTCGCACGCATTAATCTCTAGAACAGGATCCCTTCCTTTGGTCTTTTTTTTATGGCATAAGCCGGTAAACGAGCAGACGGATCATCTGATGGTAAGCAATCGGCGTCGCCCATGGACATCTGGCACACCAGAGGCGTTCCGTTACCGTTACTTTTTGGAGTTTGAGGATCGTTGGGGATTCAGGGATTGGGGAGATTGGGGAAGGGGAGGGTAATTGGGCCTCCGGTAACCTCACTCACACGCTTCACGTCGGTTTTCTGTGAGGCCGTGGTATCACTTCGGTCTAGCCGGCCCATTCGTGCCGAAGCATGGCTCTCCCACACTTAATTTTTATGTTTGTCTAATAATGTTTATATATAATTTTAATTCACATAGTGTTGGGCTAGAATTGATTATGTTTGAATCTGTAGTTCTTGTGCTATAACAAACGCTATGTGCTAATTAATATTTTCCTGTATCATTAAGCCCAGGATACACAAGGGCACGAATGCCCTACGACATGTATCGGCGACATTTCACGCGAAGCCTGCCTATTTTGCCCAACATATTATAAACCGACAACGCGTACCTTATATCCACAGCGATGTTGATATTGCCAGACATGTCGACCAAAGTCTGGTTTTTTTTTAAGGGGGGATAATCATCGAATGGCTTTTCCCGCCTGGGTGAGGCGGGAGGGAGTGTCAGACTCTTATTGACTAAAAACCACCCCGTTCCTTCTCCTGCACGTCGAGCCGGAGCCCCGGGCACCCGTTAGGTTCTCCCCGACACCAAAGTCTGGTTTGGATGGAAAACCTCGTTTGAATAATACTTCAGACTTTTAGTATATATAACAGTCTTCTGCCCACGGCTTTACCCTATTTCGTGTTGAATAAAATAATTTAGACCATAATTTATTTATTTTGTTTATTTAAACTTTTTGCACAATAGATATACAATGGTGGCCTTATTGCCTAGTGGCATTCTCTAACAGTCAACCTTAGGGTGATGCAGAGAGACACAATAGTAGGTGTGAAAGTTTAACAAAATCTATCCCTATTCCAAATTTAATCCCGATCCCTTCAGCCGTTTTGATGTTATTGAGTGACAAACGAACATACAAACACAAAAACGTTCGCATATGTTTTATTAGCAAGATAATTGTAGTTGACGCTGTAGATGATGTAACACCGCCTTATAAGGTACTTGGAAGCAGAGTAATGCCAATAATTTGTAATATGCGCAGTTTATCGAAAACCACCAAACAGCCTTACGTACCAAATTTATTATTGAACATACGCTATTTATGTCAAGGTGTAATATATTATTGCGTAAATTGACATCACATCAGACTTTTCAATCCTTAAGGTATTTGAATTTTGGGGTTCCTGACGGACTGATCGTGAAAGACCACGATGCAGTGTAGAATATTCTTAAGCCTCTGCCAGCAGCTTCACCCGCGTCCCGTTGGTAAAAAGTAGCTTAGATGCTTGCTTCCGCATCCCGAGAGTCGCGGAGAACCTAACGAGTGACCGGGGCTCCGGCTCGAAGTGCAGGAGAAGGAACGGGATGGTTTTTAGTCAGTAAGAGTCTGACACTCCCTCCCGCCTCACCCCAGCGGGAGAAGGCATTCGATGTTTTCCCCTTAAAAAAAACCACATCCCGATCCCTTCACCAATTTTGACGTAAAGAAGTAACACAGAAACGAACAAACATACAGACTTTCGCATATATAATGTTAGTAGGATGTCTACATTCCACGTATCCTTACTCCATCTTTGGAGTCAGATGGACAAATATCATAAAAGTGACATTGATATACCATGGGAGAATCATAGCTGTCATGAGAGCAATGTGGAAAATAGAGACGCTAGATTTCAAATTATTTCTATCACAAAATACTTAGATATTGTACAGCAACCAGAACTTAGACTTTATATAAGAGTACTTTTAGAGATACAATTACAATGATGATAATCGTCATCCATTAACTGACTTCAGCTAGCGAACCACTTAAAAAATTACCCTGTACAATCGCAACCATCTCCTTTCTTGAGATAACTAAACAAACAAATATCGAATTAATATCAAACGTGTTAAAGTCTTTATTTGTGAACCAAGATAACCTCTTAATACAATGGTGGCGTGTGGACACAGTGCAGTGTCTGTTGGAGTCACGCTACGATATGCGTCAATGACCTAGTAAATTGTTCTGAATGGAGAGTTCGATGATCTAGGTATTCTAGGTCAAAGGTCCTTAAATTAGGACTCATTTTACCTTTAAATGGGGGGTATGAAGACGGCTTGAGGCAAATGTGAGATCTTAAGCGTGTGGGAGAGCCATGCTTCGGCACGAATGGGCCGGTTCGACCGGAGTGATACCACGGCTGCACAGAAAACCGACGTGAAGCAACGCTTGCGTTGTGTTTCGTCGTGTGAATGAGGTTACCGGAGGCCCAATTACCCTCCCCTTCCCCAATCTCCCCAATTCCTGAATCCCCAACGATCCTTAAATTCCTAATCCCAAAAGGACGGTAACGCTCACGCTAATGGCTCTGGTGTTTGAGGTGTCCATGGGTGACGCCAATTACTTACCATCGGGTGATACAATAACCAATTAATACAATACAATAAACAATTTGGAACCGATCATGTTAGAAGGAAATCTCTTTTGTAAAAATAAATACTTCACACAATTTTCCTATGCATTCTATTTTGGGATTTTTGATTTATATAGAAATATTATCGGTTCTTGATTTAGGAAATAAGAAGTTATGACATTCAATGAAAACGAGGTGATACTATTTCCATCGAAATAGCATGTCAATAATGATATTGTTAGTGGTGAGATAATTCACAAGTTTTAAATAGACACTCTTTGTATTTAAATTCGTCATTGGGAAATACTGACCACGGCCTGATAGGTGCTAAGTTAGTTGTACCACGAACGGGTAAGCAGAGCTGCACGTATAGATATAGACAAGATGTAATAATCTCTTTTTGCTATTACATGGTATATTTGAACGAATTTAGACTCTATTGCCATGCAACGCGCACCAATCTAAGCCAATTCCATTAAGGCTCAAAAAAATCTCAATACATCTTTTTCCGACTCGATAATCAAACTTGAGACGAACAGTCAATTTGAAGGAATAAAATGCATAATTATAATTAAGTTATGTAAGACATAACAATCTTCTTATATCGTAACACCGATATTCTGATGATTCAATTGTTTCGAAACCATGTTGGTACATATTCATAGAACATGCGTAGTAATACATAAATAGAATAGATATATGAAGACGCAATCACGATAATACTACGTTAGCGATATGACACATTCCTAATTAGTGTTAGAGATAGAAGTGGCAGAAGTAATGGTTTCAGGTATAAGGAAAATGTCGCGGAGAACCTAACGGGTTACCGGGGCTCCGGCTTGACGTGCAGGAGAAGGAACGGGGTGGTTTTTAGTCAGAAAGAGTCTGACACTACCTCCCGCCTCACGCAGGCGGGAGCAGTTATTTGATGATTTTCCCCCCTTAAAAAAAGGTATAAGGAAAATAGTTATAATTCTTAATTGCTTGAATAAGCTAACACACGCGTTGTCAAAGGAAGGTGATGATAGTCCTCCTAACTCCAATCCTCTTAGAATACCGAAGTCTAAAATCTGAATTTTCTCAATCATATAAAATTTTGAAACCATAGGCTCAATTACGAATATTGTGCTTGCGCCCAATCCACTTTAGGATCTTTCTATGGAATACGATATGACGGATCACCAGATGGTAAGCGCCCATGGACATCCAGAACACCAAAGGCGATACAAGTGCGTTACCGGCCTTTTGGGAATTGGGAATTTGAGGATTGTGAGAGATTTCGGGAATTGGGGAGCCTGGGGGCCTCCGGTAACCTCACTCACACGACGAAAAACAATGCAAGCGTTGTTTCACGTCGGTTTTCTGTGAGGCCGTCGACGACAAATGAACAAACACACGAATGACGCAAGCAAAACCACATTAAGACAAGAATTTTACATTTCTATGTTCAGGAACACCATTATAGTGTTGGCCATTAGATTCACTCAAGCATTGCTTTTTTGCGACTACCAAACTTGAAGTTAACATTTACCTTCTGAATATGGTTACATATATTTTAACTAGCTACTTCCGCGCAGTTTCACATGCTCTCCTCAGCTCCTATAGGTCGTAGCGTGATGTTGTATAGCCTATAGCCATCCTCGATAAATGCGCTATCCAACACTAAAAGAATTATTCAAATCGGTCTTCTAGTTTCGGAGATTAGCGCGTTCAAACAAACAAACAAACAGACTCTTCCGCTTTATATAATAGTACTAGCTACTTCCGCGCGGTTTCACATGCACTGCTCAGCTCCTATTGGTCGTAGCGTGATGTTTTATAGCCTATAACCATCCTCGATAACTGCGCTATCCAACACAAAAATAATTATTCAAATCAGACTAGTAGTTACGGAAATTAGCGCGTTCAAACAAACAAACAAACTCTTCCGCTTTATACAATAGTATAAGAGTATAAGATAAGGTCTAACATAATCGTCCTCTCTTCCCCAGATGTTCAGTACCAGAATGCGAAGGCTACCCCGATCACATCAACTTCACGATACCCCATGATAGTGATGGTCTACCATCCAAGTGCTTCCGATACGCTCCCTTTAGCAACGTATCTTTCTATAGTAATGACAGTCAATGTTTTCCACATTACTATGACACGTCGACAGAGATTGGATGCGAGTCCTATGTGTATTTGGAGGATCATTCTATTGTAAAGGAGGTAAGTCGCCATTTTTTTTATCAGATAGTGGGATTTTTTTAAGGGGTGAAAATCATCGAATGACTCCTCCCGCCAGGGTGAGGCAGGAGGGAGTGTCAGACTCTCACTGACTAAAAACCACCCCGTTCCTTCTCCTGCACGTCGAGCCGGAGCCCCGGTTACCCGTTAGGTTAGGTTAGGTTATTGGGCCCCATCTGTGGTGGTCTGATGGCTCTTTGAGGCGCGCGCATTAGATAGGGGGATTCGAGCAGGCGCATGACCTGGTAGTAAGCAATCGACGTTGACTAACGAGCGTGGATTCTGGTAACGCCAGATAAGTCACAAGTGTATCTGTATAGCCGACCTAATGATGATTCCAGTTTTGAAGATTAGGGAGACGAAAAGTCGGTATGTGAGGGTACCGGATTGGGGATCGGTAGTATCTCACCGGCTTTCTTTACGGGCCGATCGGGAGTATCACACTTAAACGAAGCCGGCTCATTTTTTGTGCGTAATTATATAAGTAGCTTAATTGAGTTAATTTTATACTTAATAGTTTTTTGATTGTTGAGGAAACGAAAGAGGTATGCTAGAATCGTAGCAATTGGCGTTCCATAGTCTCTGTCTACTGGTAAAGCGTGAGGTTATATAGGAATATCATTGGTCATCGTTAGGAACGATATCCTCGAAGTTGTAGACCACTATACATACTTAGGGCAGATTATACAGCTAGGTAAGTCCAATTTCGACAAAGAGGTCGCCCGAAGAATCCAACTTAGATGGGCAGCGTTCGGGAAGTTACGCGAAATCTTCTCATCGAAAATCCCTCAGTGCCTAAAGACCAGGATGTTCAACCAGTGTGTGTGGCCGGTGATGACGTATGGTACCGAGACGTGGTCCCTGACCTCTGGCCTTCTGGAGAAGCACAAAGTCGCTCAGCGTGCGATGGAGAGAGCTATGCTCGGGGTTTCTTTGCGCGACAAAATCCAAAATATGGAAATTCGCCAAAGAACAAGAGATATGTATATATGTAAGTATCTATTTCCTTACAACTACCAAAGGTCCAAAGATACAAGCTACCAAAGATACAGAAACCTATAAGATGAGTCAACCAGAAAGACAATAATTATTATGAAGGTAATTTATTATCAAATGCGTTAAATAAACATGTTCGAGTCATTTGTCTCCGTTTAATTTAATGTAATAATAATAATATTGTCTCATTAAATATTTATAATATTGACACGTTAATTGGTTATACATCATTTGAAAGGAAATGTGTACGATAAGTTGGAGCTAGAAAGTTCTATTTACTTGGAGATGACAGTAAAACTCAATAAACATAAGGTTACGAGTTACTGAGTGAACATAGAAATTAAAGTAAGTGAGAATATAACATAACATAACATCACGCCTCTTTATCCCCGAAGAGGTAGACAGAGGTGCACATTACGGCAGTTAATGCCACTGTACAATGTAATACCCATTTTTAACTATTACAGTGGCATAAAGTCTGGTTGACTGCCCGGTTAGTGCAGTGGCTAGGCAACTGGCTGCCGCGCAACGTATCGCGGGTTCAATTCCCGTACGGAACAACTCTTTATGTAATCCACTGATTGTTGTTTCGGGTCTGGGTGTCATGTGTATGTGAACTTGTATGTTTGTAAACGCACCCACGATACAGGAGAAAATCCTAGAGTGGCGCAAGGTCAAAAAAAAGTGCACCTCTGCCTACCCATTCGGGGATAAAAGGCGTGATGTTATGTCATGTAATTAAAAGATAATAATATTATGAAAGTAGCTAGTTGCGCTTTTTTATCCGCTGCTCGGCTACCAATGGTCGTAGCGCATTTTATAATTATAACTATAGGCTGTAGGCCCTATATACAGCCTTGCTTAATAAATAGACTATCTAACACAAGAAGAATTATTCAATTCGAACAATTAGTTCCGGAGAAATAAACGCGTTCGAACCAAGAAACAAACAACCTCTTTACTTTAATATTAACTAGCATTTACCCGCGGCTTTGCGTGGTTATTCCTGTTTTATCCCATGATGCATATAATCAAGATTAACTTTTAAATTTTATTTGTTGACGTTCAAAAATGCCTTCCTAGTGTAATTGAAATAAAATATTTTGACTTTGACTTCAAAGTAACTTATCACCTAAGTCAGCCCATACATAGCCAGTAGGTATACCTAATTTCGTCAAAATTCGTTCAGTAGTTTCAGCGTGATTGACGGGCAAACATACAACAAAAAATCTTTTACGTTTGTTATTAGTGTGATTAAAAAAGTATACAATACATGTAAGTAATTCTTAACTAACTTTAAAATATAACTAAGCTGTGCCCACGACTTTGTCCGCGTTGAATAGTGATTCACAGCTCCCCCCCCGTAAGTGATAGCGTGATAATATGTAGCCTATATTGACCCGACCTGTAGGTAATATTCATGCAAAATTTTAAGTAAATCCATGTAGTACTTTATTCAAATCAGACTTGTAGTTACCGAGATTAGCGCGTTCAAATAAACAAACAAAAAAAACTCTTCCGCTTTATATAATAGTATAAGAAGATAGATAGTGGATAGGTTACTTTTGTTACTCCATAAGTGGAATATAAAGTGTGAGGGTAAGGTCTTATAGAAAACCGGTTTGGAAACAACTCATGTGTTACGTTCCACCATGTGAATCGGTTACCGGAGCCTCCCTAAAGTCACTATAAAAATATTAAGATTTAAATAAATAGTAATTACTAGAGGAAAATGTAACATTAAAAATGTAACATTGGTTTCTGTTCACGATTCAAGTGAAAGTGAGTAACTTAGTGAAAGTGATGCTTTTTATATTGTTTTCTTACTATTTTCTTTTAGAAAATTATTGTTCGTTTTTCATACTGGTGTTAAGGTGTTCCCTCACCGGGAGCATTCACGTGTAATGTAACATTATAGATTCGACTTTGAGCATTACATTACAATAATACCTCCCTGACTAAAGTGACTAACGACCATTTGCGTGTAATGTAACACATAGATTCGACTTTGAGCATTTTATAGCAAGATGTCAGACATTGATGTTACAAGTTGTATCAAGATATTACACATTGTATCATTACAAGGTGCGCATTGTAATGCTTGGTTCTTCTTCTTCACTGATGTAATTTGTAACGTTACATTCCACGTTTAATTCTTTACTTTTATGCAAAATAAAGCTTGTTTTTACCATCACCTGTCGGCGTTTTTAGGCAGCGTTACGTTTACACCCTGTATTTGGAATTTTGGTTTTGGAAATTGTTAGTGAAAATGTCATGACAGTACCTTTCAGCCACATATCATTGTTATCAGTATTTAATGTGTATGAAATTATGAATGTATATGTTATTTTAATCCTCAATTTATTTATTTACTATTATAGTATTGTTATTTAGTAATATTGATCATCTATACTATTTAAACTGTCAAACACCAAGCGGTCACCGGTGACCGCGACCTATTGTTCTTTAATTGTGTCTATAAAACCGGTACTCGACGAGTTAATGTATCTTATATAATTTATATTATACCTACATATGCGGATATATGTAGGTATTTACAGTTATACATAATTATGAATTTATTTATATAAATTTATTCTGTGTCACATACATTATATCATAACACCTATTACACCTACTGTTGCACATCTCTGCATCACCCCATGGTTGACTGTTAGAGTATGCGACCCGGCATTAAGTCCGTCATCGTATATTATATACAGAAACTAGCGGACCCAACAGACGTTGTCCTGCATATCCATTTGAATGTATAAACAAAATTCATCCAAATTAGTTCAGCTGTTTAGGATAAATAACCTAAACATCGACTGCAGCGCCATCTGCCGGGCTGATTTGTGAATCTAAACCATTCCCAACACACAAAAAGTTTCATCAAAATCGGTCCAGTCGTTTGACAGAAGTTCAGTGACATACACACTCACAAAAGAATTATATATATAAAGATGTAAATGAAACAAAATAGCGTTAGAAAAATAAATGACATTTTTCGTCATCATTTTCAGATTCGTCATCTACCGTTCAAGCTGCACTCATGCACACGAAAACCACTTCATCACTATTACCTACTAGTTGTTATCTATTATTAGAACTTGTAACGCCTCTATGAACGTACTAACAATTTGATCATTATAATTACGTTCATAAACACGTCGTGTGTTTGTTTGTGGTAAATTGCTGCAACGCTTTGGATGTGAAACTGAAATGTTTTATTAATACGTACGTGTAATTCCCCAATGAAAAGAGCAAGGCTTTTTTCAGTGTACTTCATTAATTATTCAGTATAATAGGGTAGATGCCTAATTTTTATTTTAATATCCGTCTGGTAGATTATTTTAAATCATTAGACACGTATTTTTTATTTTCTCACAGAAACGAATACTTTCGACGATTTATTGATTTGAAATGTCGCGTGACGTCACTTCTATGTACATTTCATAAGTAGAAATGACGTTTGACTCACTCCTAAACTTTGATTCGTTTTATCAAAGTATTATTTTATTATAAAACAAAATAAAAAAATGCGTGTCTAATATTTTTTTATTACTTAACTTACGGACTAAATAGATTTTTAATTTTCATACCCGTCATCATCCCGATTATTCTACAGCATGCTCAAAAATTTTTAAAAATCGAACGCCTATCGATTTGCAAGCATGTCCGAAATAAGGTTACTAATTTTGAGTTACATTCCGACACACATGCTTCTAATTCTAAACCCTGTATTTATAAACAAGCAATTACTTGTTGCTAAGTAGGTAATTAAGACAATTATTTTTTGGATTTAGAATTCTTACATACAAAATCTAATTTTGTTTGTAAGAATTCGTACATACAAAATCTAATTTTGTATATACGAATTCGTTCGTAGTTCGTTGGCCGAGTGGTCGCAAGTGCGACTGCCGGGCAAGGGGTCTGGGTTCGATTCCCGGGTCGGGCAAATTATTACTGGGTTATTAAAAATTCTC